AGCCCTTTGTATGCAGGGTGGGAGTGGGGGGTGGCTGTGGGCTGGTGGTGCGTCACCTAATCTCATCAATGCTCCGATTGTCTTCGGGGCACTTGAAGATAAAAATGGCATAAGCCAGAGTCTACAGCATGGCACCAAGATAAAGCCCCGAGTGACCTTCAAATCAAACAGGGAACCAAGATCACTGATAAAACCCAGAGTAAGGGAAAAGTCCAGCCTCTGAGAGGAGCCTCTGAGATAGAAAGGCTTTAAGTATTTACCTCCAAGTAGTTAAAAACTACAGCTCGGGGCTTGACAGATGGGTCCCCAAGAAGAGGCCGGAGGATGTTTGATTTTTACAGCTCTCCTCCCTGCCCTGCTGTCATTACACCCTTTTGCAAGACCCCATTGACAAAGTCCTGAGGAGAGGTGACCCCTCTTTGTTCACAGGCATGGGGAGCAGTTTGCAGCTGCCCCACGGCCCTGCCCCACCGTATCCTGCCGGGGAAGGGGACAGGCAGGGGCAGGGCACGGGCAGTGTCCCAGCGCCGTCATTAAGCTGTTAAGGCATTGATGGCTCCAGACGCCGCCGCGCGGGGCAAGGACAGTTCAAATCCCAGCATGGACAGCTGGGATGGGGTCAGCCAGGCACTGGGGATGGATCTGCCAGCACTGGCTGTGCCCCACCGGGAGCAGCTCCCCAAACATCTCCTGGAGGAGTCTGAGCAGTGATGGACCCAGCGGTGCTTTGGGAGCTGCAAGCTGCAAGGCTTGGTCCAAGAGGTCAGGAAGGGGTTATGGCTGAGCTCCATCCCTGTCTGTCTCTCCAAAACCAGCTCTAAAACTCCACGGTGGCCCTTGCCATGCCCATCTCCTCCTGCCCAGCAAAGACGATGGATATGAGCACTGATCGCCAACCAATTCCGGCAGCCGAGCCCTCCTGACCCTCCGGAGAGGCTTTTCTCCGCGGCCATCACTCCTGCCCTGCTCAAAAGCCCCTCCGAATGGGCTGTCATCGGCCCTATAGCCGGGACCGGCCCCTGCTGGCACCGCTCCGACGGGAAAATAAAGGTTGGGGCTTAACGGCCCTCCAGCGCCGAGATAAATGCCCGCGGTTACAGTAATTGCTGTCCCCTAATAGAAGAAAACAAAGGCTCTCGGGGGGAGCCCCCTGCGCGCTGGCAGCCCGGGGGCACATCAAAGGCAACGGGGTTCGTTCAAAGCCTCGGCTTAATTGTCAATTAAGCATGCACGGGGGACAACGCCGTGACAATGCGGGGCTGCATGCTGGTGGGGCATTGTACAGCCCGCCGCGACACCGAAAACAGCTGATTCTGCTGACAATGTGCTTGTAGGGCACCTTGTAAGCAATCAGCCGCTGACAGGAGGGCAAACGTCCTCCCTGTCCCCGCCATTGTGCGGGGCATTCCTGGGGCAGGGTCACATTTTGGTCACCGCTGGCCGGCCCTGCGGGGAGAGCGGTACCCGGGAGCGGGTTACAGATGTCAGGCACAGGATGCTGCCTGTCCCTCCCACGGCCGGGAGCTGGGGCGGGGGCTGCCCACCCACCCGGGGCTGCCACATCCCCGCGCACCGCTCGGGGGGCTGCCCTCGCCGGCAGCGCCCGAGGACCGATGTCCAGGTGCGCGTTGGCAGCGTCCCCAGCCCCGCTCCTCCTCTCCGCAGGCACCTTGCCCTTCCCGCGGGGACTCTCCGCCACACGGGTTCCTTTTGACTTGCCTTTGTAACGAGCTGGGTGTGTGCAACGAGCCAGGCAGGGGCACTTCAGGAGGTGGCTGGTTTCAGCCTCCCCGGCCGGGCTGTGCCAGTGCCCGCGCTGTGTCCGAGGGGGACGCGGGGTGGTTGGGACACAGTYCCCGCGCTGACCCCCCAGCCCCGAGCCCCCTGTCCCGCCTGCCGGGGGCTGGCGGCTGGCTGCGGAGGGCAGGTAAGGGACAATGGGCATTGTTCTCCCAACAATGCCTCCCGCCCTGATGAGCCTCCCCGGGCGCGCAGCCCCCTCACCGCGCCGTTATCTCCTGCTTAAATCCCCGGGAGTTTTCAGCGCGTCTGCTCTGCCCAGCCGGCTCCTCGCTGTGCACAGCGGGGCTGGACCGTGGTGTGGAGAGATGGAGCTTGGGGTGACCCCAGCAGCTCCTTTATCCACCTCCCTGTGCTCTGGCACAGGGACGGGGCAAAACTGTGCATCTGGGGTATCTTCAGCCCTGCAGTGAGGCCAGGACAGGCTGCCACATCTTCCTATGGGCTTTGCAGCATTGCCTGTGCACCCCCAAAAACAGTGCTGCCCAGTGGCTGTACCCCATGGCCCCAGCATGGGCACACCAGGCACAGAGCAGCTCCTCCTGCCCTGCCAGGCACAACCTCCTCCTGCCCAGCCGAGCCCACACGGGAACTCTGACAAGTTAAACCAAACAAGCAAACACTGATTTATCCTCAGCGAGACGGAAATCCAGCCCTCAGCACGTGCCTCTCCCGGCCATAACACTGCAGCGACAGCACGTGCTCCTCTCCACATCCCCACCCCTCCTCGAGGCTGCAGCAGGGACCGGGGTCACCATCCTCCCCCTCCTCGAGGCTACCCACTCACAGCACCTCTGCCCCCAGCCAAAACGGGAGCCAGCTCTGTCACCACTGCCCGAGCACCCTCAGCGAGGGCTTACCTGGCATTTTGCTGGGAGGGGAAGCGCTGGGCTGGTTGTGGTGGGGGGAGCCGTGGGACAGCAGCAGGTTCATGCTGTGTGGGGGCTGGCCCGAGCTGTAGGCGTCCATGGCCAGCTTCTGGCGGAAAGCCTCCTCCTTCCGCCGGTTGGCAAACCAATTGTAGACACGGACCTCCGTCACCAGGTTGGAGCCGAGCCCGTGAGCCTTGGAGGGGGACACTCCTCGCTGCAGACACTCGGCCCTGCACGTGCAAGGGGGACACGTTGGAACAAGGGTGCTGCTGGGGGGAACAGGAGCCTTGGGACAACAGGCAGGTCTGGGGCTGTTTAAGCCCTTCCTACAAGCCCCGCTGCTCTTTCCAACTGCATCCATGCTCTAAAAGCCATCCCCGCTCCCTCTGACATTGCTGGAATGCTACAGCATCCCTGTGGCATCCCTGCAGTCATCCCCACTGCATCCCTACAGCATCCCTGTCACATCCCTGCATCATCCTTGCAGTATCCCTGTTGCATCCCTGCAGCATCCCTACCACATCTCTGCTCCAGCAGGGAGCTCGCTCAGCCCCAAACATCACCCAGACTGGGAAAACAAGGCAAGAAGAGGCCAGAGAGCTCAGCAAAGCTGTGCCATGAGCCAGTGGCCGGGGTGGTGAGCCGGGAGCCCATCATCACGCTCAGTTTTCCGAAGGAGGGCTGAGGGCAGGTGAGGAGGTGCCGTGGGGCAGCTGTTACCTGTTGCACTCCTCCACCAGAGTCTCCCGCTCCTCCTTGCTGGGGTTCTTCTGGCGCTCGTAGGCTTGGTACAAGATTTGCTGGGAGGCTGGCCCCCACTTGAAGCGATTGCGGCGCATCTTCTTGCTGGGGGTTTCGGAGCAGGCATCGTCGAGCTGGGCAGCCCCCTGGTTCTGCTGATTGAACTCTGGAAAGAGAAACAGCAGCTGATCCTGACTGCCTTTGTCTGTCATATTTCCACAACCCTGGACTGCCTGGTTGAACTCTGAAAGAGAAAGGAGCAGACGTGAGCCGGCCTGTAGCTGCCGCTCGCAGTCACCGTCCCGCGCCGAGGTGGCCCCCCCGTGTCCCCTCCCGCAGCACCCCAAGCCCACGGCAGGTTTTGGAGCAAGTCAGGTGCTCCCTGCCACCCACCCCGGGAAGGGGCCAGCCCATTGCCATCCCTGTTTAATGGGGAGGCATGTGCAGGGCATGTGTATGTCCATGCATATTCATGGACAGGGGCCCTGCCAGCCTGCACTTGTTTCGGGAGGATTTTTGCAAGTGAGGAGCTGGGCAGGACGACTGCAAAGCCCCCCGAGAGGGTGCCCCTCTCTGCTCACCCAGAGCTCCAGCTCCCGTCCCGTCCCAGCCCGGTGGGACCCAGCCCCGTGCCCGGGGCAGGCGGCACCAGAGGTGACCTTCGGCAGCCGCCTCAGCCCCGGCGCTTGTCACCACGGCAGTAAAGGGAGATTAATGGGAGGGTTTTATTATTCCCAGTTTTGCAGGGGAATTCTCCCTCTTTTTATAATGGCTTTTCCCCCTGTGACGGGGGGAAATGCAGGGCAAGCCTGGATCAGGCTGTGTTTGCTCTAACGACTCAAGGTGTGTTTTCAGAGCAATGGTATTTGGTGCTAAACACCTTCCTGCACTTCCCATCTGCTGGATGTTGCATCCTTTTGGAGGAGGGAGGCAGAGCCCTTTCCAGGGGTTGTCAGTGCCCCAAATTGCCCCAAAATGGGGCTGTTTCATGTGCTACAGGACAGACCCTGTGGCAGGGGACAGCGGGAGAGGAGCGCAAAGGAATAGTCTGTGAGCTTGGTCAAAATCATCTGCATTTTAAACAGCACAGGTTGACCCCAAACCTGCTACACACAGGAGCAATTTAAGTTTTTTTCTTTTCTCTCCCTTTACATTTTTTGCACTTAGTTGCAGAAAATGATCAGTCTGAGAAAGAGCGAGTAAAAGGGGGCAGAGATGGGAAAGGCACCTAATTGTGAGTCCCCATTAATTGCTTTCCCAGCTCTAAAAAAATATAAACGCCCAGAAACTCAGCCGTGTGGACAGAACCCCTTAAATTCGTTGCACCTTAAATTCATTTTACTTGTCAAGCTGTTCTGGGGAGATGCTCCACAGCTGGGGCCTGGGGGCTGTGCTGGGACCCACGGGCAGGACCGGGACAGGGGGGACCCCCTCGCCCTCCCACCAGCCCCGACGGGCGGGCGCTGCCGCGGGTACTTACGCCGGAGGATCTCCCGCTGCTTGCGGACGTACCACGTGTACAGGGCAGCTCTTTTCTGAGTCTTCATGGGGGTGCCCTTGTTGAGGTGCTGGGAGAGGTGTGACTGGTTGAGGCCGGTGACATCCACCACCTCCCTCTGTGGGATGTTGTGCTGCTGCATGTACCCCTTGATCATCTTCGCCGCCCGCCACGGGTCCTCGCTGCGGGGAGGGAAAGCAAGGGTTAATCTCTGCTGGAGGGGGGAAAGCACCTGGCATTTGCTTCTTCCCACAGTAGAAACCTATTATTATTATTATTATTACTACTACTACTATTATTATTACTATTATTAAAACTGTCTCAGAAGGACACAAGATCCCTTGGGTGTATGTTTTTCCCCACAAACAGCCCCGTCCCACCCCACGGCTGGTGGGATGAGGGCTCATGGAAGTCACGGCCACCCCGGGGATGCCAGTCAGGCTGTTCGCCCGGGGAAGGAGAAGCAAAGAGGATCCTGGTGTTCTGATGGGACACACTGAGGTCTCCTTGCTGCAGTAAAGCACCTCCAGATCCTCCAGGAAGGAACACAACCTGTCCATGAACCGCTGCCGTTGCATTCACCGCGATTTCTCCCTTGGAAGATACGCACACGCAATGGGATACACACACACGTAGGGATATGGGGAGCCTATCCTGGAGTCTCTCTGAAGAAAGAGAAACCCCTCACCTGGAGGTGCTGGGGTTGCTTTTCCTGCCCCTGCTCACCGGTGTGGTACCCGCACTGTGCCCTGTGCCCCTGGCATTGCCACCGGCTGGCAGGGACCCCTGTATGGTCACTGGATCCCACCTGTAGTTTCTCCCTTTCGTTCCCACTGGGATAATGATCGAAAAAAATCTCAATATTCACTCAAAAGAGACCCGATTTCCTCTCTCCCACAGCAGCGCAGCGCACGCACCGGCCATGTTTGAGAGGCTGAGAAGCCAAGGTCAAACCAGGCACACAAACCCCAGCGAGTCCCCGAACACAAAACCAAAACCAAACACCCCAATAATTTTAAGTCATTCCTGAGTATTATTAAACACCTTAATTTGGCTCCTGTACGATCCAGATGTGAATTACTCTTCACTAAATCACAGTACTTTGGTGTCCTTGGGGTAGCTGACATTGATTCAGGGAATAAATAAAATTACAGCCCAAAACCCAAATGCTGTCCTCAGTCTTTAGCCCTGTCCAAAGCCAGAACAGGCCAACACATCTGTGCTGTATCCAAGACTCCCACATTTATTCTGGGCTAAAAGGGAGCATTTTAGTGCTGAAAAATCGGTGTGAGCCCGAACCTGGTCACAGTCATGCACTCAAATAATGCGACACCCCAATGTCGCCCTTGGAACGACCGTCCAGCTGCTTTCCCAATTCATTACTTATTTTGGATCCTTCAGCTTGTCGAGTGAAAAAAAAAAAGAAAACCACCAACAAGTAGATTTCTTACTTTTTGTCCTGAATGCAGCGTGAAAACAAAGCTGGTTGGATCCACAGCGAAAGTACCGGAGCAGAGCCAGCCGGGGCTTTGTCACACCCCGGGAAGGAGCCACGGAGCCTTCCTGGAGACGTTGAGCCTGTGCCCAACCCTGCATCCTCCTGGGAGGGGAGCCCCACTGTATATGGGGGTCCTCTACGTGGTGATGGTACCCAGGAGAAGGTGGGAAACCAGGAGGAAGATGTGGAGAAAATGTCCTTCCCAACGACGCCGGGCAAAGCCGCCGTCCGCCGTGCCCGAGCCGAGGGGCTCGCACGGACCTTTGTCACAAGCAGTTCGTGTCACCTAACTGATCCCACTAATTACTGATTAATAATAAGTTAATGAAACAGAGGTCATTATCATTTCTAAGAGCGGTCTGGTTCACAGTCGAGCCCAGGGAGGCGTTTTCCCAGAGTGAAACTGTGAGCTGGTGCAACAGAGCACACTTGGAAAATGTCAAATGAGCAACTCGGGGGTTACAGGTGGTATTTCAGAATTCAAATAAAATTTGGCAGCATTTTGGCTGAAAAAAAAAATACGCGAGATTTAGGACAAAAGTCCCTCAATTACATTATTTTTAAGAAAGGTTTCACCTTGACATTTCCAGTGTTTCACACTTATGCTTTCAAAACAATTATTCAGCTCTTAATTTCCGAGCAGTGATTTTTCCCTTACAAATCAACTTGACCGTATTCAAAAGGGTTAAACAACCTGAAACCAAACCCAAACATTTTGTTTCATGTTAAACAAAATGTTTGGACTTGACCCAAAATGAAAGTTTGAGTGTTTGTTTGGCCTCTTTTTTTTTTTCTTTCTTTTTTGGTTAACTTAAAAAGCCAGAGAGGAAAACCTTTTGAGTCAACACCAGCTCTTTTTCTTTTATTCTGTCACCAAAATGAAATAAAACAAACATTGATTGTCCAATCTTCACCAGGAGTTTACATACAAAAAAAAATACAAATCCCTGACCCAACCCAGGAGTGCTTTCTAATACCAGCAAACCAGTTTACAGCCCTGACTCCACAATCCTACTCCACCAAAATCATGGAAAGGCGGGTTTTTCTTGCACAAAATTAGCCCCAACGAAGCCTGGCCACCAATGCTGCCCAAGAAAGAATCACTTCCCCTTCCAGCCTCATGTGCAGGCGGGAAGCAAATCCCTCTCCCCAGGGATTCCCAGATCCACTCACCCCTTTTTCAGCCTGGAAACCAGGTAAATACGCTCCACATCCTTGGAGAAATATGCCAAGAATTTATACAGATGGATTATAAACAGGGCTCCCTACAGAAACGATCTCCCTGATCGGCATCTCCCTGTGCACCAGGAATCGGCTGCGCCCGCCGCTCCACACACCTTTGGGGGTGGCTTTCCCACAGTCCCCAGCCCATGGATGGGATCTGGGTGCCTCTGGGATATATTATTTGCCTGAGTGGGGTCTGGGTGAGCCCTGGCAGGTGGGATGGGGCAGGGAGGGAGCTGTGGGGTTGCTCCAGAGTGGGCTCTGTGTGCTGCCTGCCGGGGTGAACCGACTGGGACCACGGCACCCACCGTGCTGGGTCCCAGAGAGCTGCGGGGCTGAGCACCCCCAGGGATGTGGGAATGGCCTGAGAGAGCCAGCCCTGGGGTCGGGACACCGGGGGAACGGGAGAAGAGGGGGTTCAGCCCCTGAGAGTGGCTGCAATCAGTGTCTCCCAACTCCCCTACCCGCTCCCTCTCCAAGTACAAAGGCCTCTCTTAGAGCAAACACGAGCTCTTTGCAAAGACTCCTCAGGGACATGTGCCCGCTCTTGTTTGCACCAAAGGCAAACTTTGCACAGAAACACCTGTGGGAGAGCAGAGATCCCAGGGATCTGCCTGCTCGGCCCCCTCACGGCCACCCGGGCACCCCCGGCAGGGATGCAGCCAGCGAGGGGGGACTGGGGACAGGTGGGAGCACCCAGGTGTGCAGGGCACGGTGCTACACAGGAGGGGCGGGAACCCATCGGGAAAGGCCTGCGATGGATTCTCCCTCACACGGAGCCCTTTTGGCACCGCAAGTCCCAGCCGAGCCCCTGGTGCTGCCCCGGCCCCAAAGGGCACCGTCTGCCCTGCTGGTACCGCGGCACGGCTGCAGCAAGTCCCCGCTAAGGCACCGGGGTGTCAGAGGGGGTAAGCCGGGGTTGACCCCGGGCTCTGCGGGCTGGCAGAGGGCACGGGCACACATCGGGGCCGACCCAGGGGGCAGGACCGGTGCCTCACGCCGGGCGCGCTGGGCATCGCGACAGGCACTTGAACTGCAG